ACAACCATTCCCCCACGCTAAATTAAAGTCCAAGTTGCTTTTCAAATTTAATAAATTTACTTACATTGTCATTGGTCATTTGCGAAATTAATTTGTTTAAAAAAGATTCTGATTGTACACACAAGTACTCTAAATTGGACATCAAAAAGATGCTTGAGTTTCTAATTGATAATATATATGTTGTTTTTGGAACCAGGTCTTTCAATACTATATTGAAATTCCCATGGGTAGCAATTGCACCCTTTATTAACATACCTATTTTTTTATTCATATAAAGTAGAATTTATGCACATTTTTATGTGTGAAAAGAAGGAAACACTTGTTGTAATCTTCAATTCGACATATAGATATATCGACGACGTATTGTCAATTAACAATGGAAATTTTAATAATTATGTCGATACGGTAAATCTCGGTTAGCTCAAAATAAAATTAAAAAAAAAACGGATTCTGACACATCTCTCTCATATTTGGATATTTTACTTGAAAAAGACGTTAATGGTAAGAGCGTGCTCTACGTATGATCAATTTCTAAAACGAGGTAAATTATTGACCAACAAGTTGATGAAACAAGATTTTCAGCAGTCTCGTTTCATATCATCATTTCGTAAGTTTTTGGTCAATACAATGACCCTGTCAGCAAATACATGTACAATTTATCATTGAATCAAATGCTGACTGATGTTTTTCATACTAATTGTTATTACATTATTTATACAATGAATAAAACGGATTTTTTTTTTTCGTTGTGTCCTGATCATGACAAGAAGCGACCGGTCGGCATGATGTTTACTCCTCCGTGGCAACTGATCCCACCTTGGATGTTATGGAGGTCCGTGTTTGCTCTGCTTCTATTTTGTATTGTTCTATGGATTTTTGATCTTGAAGACTGTTAGTTTTCTCCATATGTTTTATCAATAGAGGGAACCTTCATTTACCCCCAGTAAAAATTCAAAGACAACATAGTATTAATGAATACAAATCATTCTTGCGTGTTTAAAGAGAGAAATGCTGACAAATAAAGAGTTCAGTTAATGTATCTAATAAAATTAAAATAATGGCCTTAGAATTTTTTTGAATTTATTTAATTTAAAGCTTTATGTTGTACCTTTCATTTTTTTTTTATCTAGGTCTAAGGGGCAGATCACTCATTAGCTTAAACATATAACTGAAGCAGAAAGCAGTGAAATCTTTAATCTGCAGTGTATATATGATCATTGAGATGATTTAGGCACCTTTGAAGTACAATATTCATCTCGCCTTTGGGGATCTGTGAATGTTGTACTTTTCATGTACAATATATTTGAGATGGCTTTGAATAACTAGTAATTGACAGGAATGAGGTGGCTTCGTATGGACTTCAAAAAAGCAATATTGTGAAATATTATTTACAACTAGTCCTATATGGGCTTTTATTGTATTTTTGTGTGATTTCATGCAACCTCATTTTCGTATTATAATGACATTCATTTCAAAGTTGTATTTTTGTGTGGGGTCAACAAATTAACCAAAAATTAACAACCCGATTTAACTTATTTTTTTAGATATGGTATCCTAAGCTGTCAACTATCATTTAGCAAAGAAAAAATTCACACATTTTAGTTTTAAAATTTGATCATTTTTGTATATCTTTATATGGAGATCTTCTTTTAAAGGAGATCAAAATAGTCTAAAAATGGCTGTCACACCCCAGCCTCGTTAAAAATATATATTATTTAGAACGAATAGTCTGGAATTTACAGAAAAAATTAAGTATGTTTGCGAACTCGACATCATTTTGCGAATCTCTCAAGCACCATGTACCACATAAATCTGTCTGGGTTTGCTAGCTCCAATATTTGCTTGCATAAAACTTCATAAAATTGCACTTCTATCATGAGTACAGCTACAAGCGCCTTGTTTTACAATTAATTATCAAACTAAGTGTGAAATATGTGGAAGAGCCAGGACTGGTTCTAACGCCTTTGATATTCACACATGAATTCCGTCATTAGTAGACTAATAACAAGTACCCGGCCATTGTATATCTTGTACAAAAATATATAATTTCAACACTTTGAATCATTTTTTACAACTTTTATTTCATTTATTTAAAAAAAACATGAATTAAAATGTGAAATCTGTATGGAAAATCTTGATAAAATATATTTTGCAAATGTGTTTTTCTTTGTTTTGTATTAATATGAATACACATTTACACATCTTAAAGATAAAATTATATTAATCAGCTCGTACGTTTGTATTCTATAATATCAAATTGTGCACGCTCGTTAAAGAAAATTCCGCAGCATTTTGTGCAAACTAGTTTTTTTTTCCATTTTTGATCTATTTTTATAATAATATAAATTTTTACCATTCTTTTGCTTGATCAAATCACAATGCAGAGGGTGAAGATAATGAACAGTGATCGTGTTCAAAAAATCTATAATCAATACAAATATGAGAAGAGAGATTTAAACAACCTCAATTAAAATCAGCATTTTTAAAATTATGTGGCTGTTACGGTGCATGATATTTTTATTAAAAGTATAGTCTTTTCTCCATATATCCAAGTGAAATTAAAGGAAACCGACCCTCTGATAGAAGGACAACTTTCCAAGTACAAAAATATGATTACTAATAATACTAAGTATTCTTTATCAGAGTTTCCTAATTGAGACCTCCTAGTAGTAAATTTGCGATGAAATCTAACATATGACGGAAACGTAACCATAAGAAGAATATGGACCATCTATTACTTTGCGATTTTTTGTTTCAAATTCCATTATATTTAACACAAAAAAAAAATTAAATCCAATTTTAAAAGCCTTATCAATTGAATAAATTATATATCTTTTTAAGAACCATTTTTAGAATGATGTTATGCTTTAAGTACCAAAAACAGCGCTAGCATTACATTTTTTTTTAAAAAATGAAGGAATATTTAGAAGAAATATAACTTCTGTTCACAAATGTATTGCTTTCAAACAGCCTCATACAGCATTGTGATATTCTGACTTAGGGGGCAGCGCTTTGTGGTACATGTATCTTCTAACAGGTATCAGGGTTCTCTATCGTTCTCTATCGAGTTTACCCGAAGCACTAAATTTTACGGTATTTTCCCAATCAAATTAGCGATTGAATTACTCTTCATTATAAAACAAAAGAATACATGCACATACTTTAAAAAAGAATCGCTAATTCGTTACACAAATTGTATAGTCGTACAGTGTACATATTGATAAAAGTAAAAATTCTGGTCAATACAGTCGAAATACTTATTTAAGAAATAAGGTATCATTTTTTGAGTTTTATTGGAATGTAAAACGGGTTGGTGACGTGATCAAATCTCATAAAGCCCGAAGGTCTTTATGGAGGATTTGATCATGAACCAACCCGTTTTAAGTCTAAATTCAATTTATCCTTGTCATCAAATACAATTTATCATTGAGTCAAATGCTGACTGATGTTTTTCATACCAATTGTTAGTCCATTATTTATACAATGAATTGACGACGGATTTTTCCGTTATTCCTGATCTTGACAAGGAGCCCACGGCGGGTGTGACCGGAGGGGATGCTCACTCCTCCATGGCATCTGATCCTACCTCTGATGTTTCGGAGGTTCGTGTTTGCTCTGCTCTTATTTTGTAGTATTGTTTTATGGACATTGACATTGAATACTGTTCGTTATCACAATATCCTTTATGCAATCAATGATTGGCAGATGGTTAAAAATGAAACTTATGTTGTTTTTAGTGAGCAATTTGCTATCAAAGACCTCCAATTTACACTTTAAAAATAGCTAAATATTTGAACAAAAAGATAATTATTAAATACGTAAGAAATGTCTAGGTCCAAGTAAATATATATTTACTTATTATTTTAAACATATTAGATATAATAAAAAGGAGTCACTCAATCTCTATCTACCTTGAATAAACGTCTCTTCCGAGACAGAAGATTTGGGTTTCAATGTTTGACATGCTTGTCTTTGGAAAGGATAGTCTTATCCACCCATTCCGTTGCCCAGATTCGAGAATTTCTGACAAATGAACTGTTCTTGTCATGATGTTTTGTTAACAAAAAGAAATATAAAACTCATAAAAATCTTCATTTTTTGTGCAGAACGCGACCAGGGGGTCACGTGACCGCCAATATCACGTGATTCGGCGCATGTGCAGAATGGTGGTTGATGTGCATTAAAATCGGGGAGGATTAGTTTAAAATATAATCAACATTGAAACCAAATATTGTTCTTTTATAGAAGTTACTCAATTAGTTCGCGAACTTTTTGATCACCCCTCGTATTACTTATATTTACATTTGTGACTGATGTAATACAAATAGAAAGGTACTAAAGTTTTAAGCCCAAAATGATTTTTTTTTCAAAAATTGTATGTGTTGTACACGTCGATGACTTACATGTATGATGTCACTATTGAATTACGTAGATCATTTATGACTAAACAATCAATTCATGCCTTTTATGGTCACATGACCAACTTGTTTTACGCAGGTGTAAAAATGCCTTGTTCAAAGTGTTATATAAGGGCAAACATTTGCAATTATAAATATATCTCAATAAAGATAAACAGCATTTAAAATGATTAAATCCGTGATACTTCTTAATGATGCCAAGGAATCATAGAAAATAAAATTGCAACGACCTTCCTCGTGCAAGTAAATGTCCTGTTCTCCATTGATTTAAAACAAATTAAGTTTAAACAGCTTTTTGACAAAGCAAAACCTATATATCCAAACAGAAAAAAATACCTTGCACATCACTGTCATCAGGCCTAAAAAAAATTATTTGTTTCACCAATTGCCAAAGTTTCAAAAATTGTCAAAGTTTCACCAACCCTGCAGAGAGAGTTATGTCAGTTCTTAAGTTAGGTCTTCAGAACTGTTCTCTTGAAAGGTATTAAATTTCAGTTAATTTAATATATACAATGAATAGATTATTAATTTTGGTTGGACATACCTATTAAATTTCTATGTATCTTTTATAATAGGGAGAAAATGATTCCTGAGGCTGCTGAAGCAGTTGCGAAGAGGTGTAACAGCATGAAGGATCTACGAGAGCACCCTGATATTCAAAAACCTTGGTCTGAGGCAATGGAGAATGTGAAAAGAATTATCTCCAGTAGATTCTGTAGAATTAGATTCTATGGCCAGAAAGTAGAGGTGATGGATAGTCTCCGAGAGGATGAGATCTCATTGCTACAAAGACATGCACGTGCACTTTTTCCAACCCTAGATTTGACAAAGGGTTGTAAGAACATATAAGCTTAAGTGTTAGTACATTTAATATGTGTTCCATCTTGCACACTGTCAGACACACTAGTAGAGATTGTAAAATATTTTGCAGGTTACTAACGTAACTACAGGAAAGTATGCAGCCTACATTGACTGGAAAGCAAAACATTGTCGAGAAAGGCAGTACACATTTCAAATACGGAAATGTAATGATCGGGCCTGCTGTCTCCCTAACACAGAGAATTGTCCAGAACATTGGCTTCCTGATCCTGTATTGGATGACAGTGGTGCACATTACAAGCCATATACAGAGGTATGTATCTGTTTTTCTAATGTAATATCTGATTGAAGACCTTTCAGTATTTGTTGATACATATATTTTGTTGCGTGAGCAGGTGAAGATGGAGGATACTGTTGAGGCAAAACCTAGGTCCAGTATTGTGAAGACCAAGGCTCCAAAGAGAACTCTCTCTCATCTACCGAGGTGTCAACTGAAGTAGGACAGTTGCCAGATCAGGAAACATCCAGGGGAGTAGCTCTGTCTTCCCAGAATGCAAGGTGCATTGTGGAATGTACCGAGTGTCAGAAACCAAGGGCTGTTTATTCAAATCTAAAGGTATGATCTTTTAAATTGATATTGATCACACAAATACAGATCCTCTGCAAGTGCTCACATCTTGAAGTTCACCTTAGTCTTATTTTAGAATTGTTCATTTTGTTGTTTTTTCAGATTAGTACAGATCGCCAAAAATGGCAATTGCCCTTGCCATATCTGAATTCAACTACTCATGTGGGCTCCACTCCTTCCCCAGAATCATTCTTTATACCATCAGCTTGTTGTTCGACCTCTTTTAACATGTAGTTCTCCTATTGAAATTCCATATTATGGTTCGGGTTTTGGCCAGGTGGATGTTTGTTACCACTGTGGAACACCAAATGCTATCCAAAATCAGAAATGAGAAATATGTACAAAACTGTATTACCAATTTGTACCACTTGTGAAAACTCTGGAAGGAAGGTCTTTGTTGCTAGACCATTTGGGAAAAATAAATAAATGACATATTAAAACTTGATATGTTTTTTTTTGTTTTATTATCTTCTATACACTTAAGAAATTTATTTTTTAAAAAAATCCCTACCTACCGACCCATTATTTTTTAGGAATGTTACAGGAAACAAACAATTTTTTAGGCCTCAACACCAAAGTCCAACAAATAATACTTACCTCGATTCCTCTCTGGGACCCCAGTCGACCGCGTGGCGAAGTGATTAGAGAGTCTGCTCTGGAGCCACGAAATAAGTTGATCTTTACGTTGCAAGTTCGAATCCCACTGTGGGACAAGTCCTTCGGATGAAACTTCGTGTCGCAGTAGGTGCTGGCACGAAAAAGATCCCCCCTGCTCAATGGCCCCGAGTGCCGGGTATAGGAAATTGGCAGCTCTCCAACGGCAAGTGGTGGCATCTCCATATGAGTGGAAAAATCTCGAGAGGGGCGTTAAACAACAATCAATCAATCAATTTCAATGTTTATTCAAAGAATTTTAAACATTGTTGTGAAAAGAAATTTGACTGACATAGTTTTTGTAAAAAAAAAGTTATTTAGGAGGTCATCGAACCGGTTTTAATTCAAAAAGATGAACAGAAGAATGAATACCAAGTAAAGACTTTCAAAATTAGACAAACTTGAAAGGAACTTCCAAGGTAAGACTAGAACTTTAAACAAAATACAATCAATCTCTAGGATCAATATCCATAGACAAACGCATGCAGAAAGGCTACCAGGTGCCTTCCGGTTGATTACAAGAGGCCCATGGGCCACATCGCTCACCTGAGCACTGTGGCTAGGAAAAAGTAGAAAATAGTTCATTATTGAAAAGTTTAAATCCAAAAGTAGTCCCATGACAAATCATGGCTTTACGATTTCGAGAAGATGGTTTTTAAAGAATTTTCCTATATATTTTATGTAAAACTTTGGTCGGCCATTATGGCCCCACCCTAAACCCCAGGGTCATGATTTGAACAAACTTGAGTCTACACTACCTGAGGATGCTTCCATATAAATATGATCAATTATGGCTTTGCTATTATAGAGAAGAAGATTTTTTTTTAATTTCTATATATTTCTAAGTAAAACGTTGGTCGGCCATTGTGACCCCGCCCTACCCCCGGGGTCATGATTTGAACAAACGTGAATCTACACTACCCGAGGATGCTTAGATTTCAATATGATCAATTATGGCTTTGCTATTCTTGAGAAGATTTTTGAAGAATTTTCCTATATAATTCTATGTAAAACTTTGGTCGGCCATTGTGGCCCCGCCCTACCCCGGGGGTCATGATTTGAACAAACTTGAATCTACACTACCTGAGGGTGCTTCCATATAAATATGATCAATTATGGCTTTGCTATTTTTGAGAAGAAGATTTTTAAAGAATTTTCCTATATATATCTATGTAAAAATTTGGTCGGCCATTGTGGCCACGCCCTACCCACAGGGGCTCATGATTTGAACAAACTTGAATCTTCACTACCTCAGGATGTTTTCCCATAATTTTCATCTTTCCTAGCACAGTGGTTCTTCAGAAGAAGATTTTTAAACCATACCACCAAATTTTCACTAATTCCCAATTATCTCCCCTTGAATGAGGGCGTGGCCCTTGATTTGAACAAACTTGAATCCCCTTCAACCAAGAATGCTTTGTGGCAAGTTTGGTTGAAATTGGCACTGCGGTTCTTGAGAAATCGAAAATGTGAAAAGTTTGCAGAAAGACGGACAGCTAGACAGACGGACGCCGGAAAAAATGTGATCAGAAAAGCTCACTTGAGCCTTCGGCTCAGGTGAGCTAAAAATGACGTTACTGAAATAGCTCAACCAAGGTTTGTAAAATCATTGACGGTAGCGGGTAGCAAAACAAAGATATAGGACTCCAGGACAGCATATAATAAAAGCAGAAAAACATAGCGTTGAACCTGGAAGTTATTTGGCTGATCTGTTCCATATTTAAGCAGCTGGATTTTGTCAAGTAAAAGTGATAACACTAACAAATCCTACTTTAAGAGATGAGGAAATTTCATCAAAATTCAAGGACATTGTGCTTTGCCGGAAAGTCTCATGCACATGGCATTATACCTGACGCATTTATTACAGAATGGGTCATCTCATCATCTTGTGAACGTTGCTGTGTATGCGATTAAGTGGGCCCATGACATGAATGCACAGGTTTACCAGTTCCAACTAGAATTTTTAGTTTCATGTCTAAAGGAAACGGCAAGACGGAAAGCTAGTCCTGTTATTCAGAAAAAGAAGCTTATAACCAATGAATTTTTAATTGGACTTTGTGATAAATTTATTGATGAAATGATTTGCTAATTGTCAGAACTCTTACTATGATTTTATTTTCGTTTCGCTGGTTTTCTTAGGTTTGACGAAGTTATTTCTTTAACATTTAATGATGTCCTCGTACATAATGACATCTTGTGCTTAGCAATGAAAAAGTTATACAGCAGCCATAAAAGCAATCTTCTATCATTTTTAAAAGCATTATGGATGAACATGTCATGTAGCAATTCAGTTTTAAGTGCAGGTGGGGCAACTGTGCACGTGGCTGCTAAATCAAATGTTGATGAGAGATGTTTGATTGTTTGAATGTATATCGTTTAACTCACACTCGAGAATTTTTCACTCACATGGAGACGCCACCACTTGGCGGTGGAAAGCTGCAAATTTCGTCCTAAACTCGGCACTCAGGGCCATTGAGCAGGGAGGGAACGTTTTCGTGCCAGCACTTACCGTGACACGGGACCTCGATTTATACAGTCTCATCCGAAGAACCGGTCTCCACGTCCCACAGTGGCATTCGAACCCGCGACATAAAGATCAACTCTTTACTTCGCCACTCTAGAACAGACTCGGGCGACAGAGATGTTTGAAATAGCACGGTAGATGGAGAAGTGATAGTGTTAAGGATGGTTGCATTTTAGATTCTTCGGAAAAAGACTTATGGTCTTAAGGGTATTGGAATCATAATTTTATTAATATTATGCACAGTATTCTTCACCCCTTTCTTTGCTTTTTTCTAGAGCAATCGCGGCTGGCTGTCAGGCATTGTATGTTTGTGCTGTTTTTTTTTAATGTTAGTAAATTAAATACTGATATTTTCCCGCAGTTCGCCAGTAATAGCGTGAAAAATTTTGTATTGACGGCACAGTGCATTATAATGGAAGGTTCCTTTATTAGCCAATAGTTATCGAGTGTAAAAAACAGGTTTTTGAAAGGTAATTCAGGTATTTACTACTAGCAGCTGTGCGGCACGAAATAGACGAACTTTTAAGAAAGTATTTTTTTTTCATGTCAATATAATCTCGTCTTATCTTAGGATTTTTCTAAGTAAGGATTTTCCTAAGTTATGTCTTATCTTTAAGACAGTTAAATCGATGTTTATAAGGAAGAAACTAAATATGGAGGTTGCATATTTAATAATAAACGAACAAAGATTGTTACGAAGAGAGGTTGTTTAGGGATAGAAACAATCCATGGTCTTGAGATCATTTTCAAAGTTTAAAGCCACTTGGACACAGATTTGAAGTTCATTTTTTCTCTGATAATATTACGACTTATATATTTTAATAGCATTTTACACAAAAATTAATTAAAAATCTTATTTCATTTAAAAGTTATTAAAACTTTAAATTTTTTGGCGGGTTTGATTGACACATCCTTGCACATTCACAAATTTTAACTTTATTCTTAATCCTTGGGAAAAGTGGCAATCTTGTTGTGTATGAATGAAAAATATTAATACTATAATCCAAAAAATTCAGAGTAAACATGTTCGAAAGCAAAACAAACACACAATATATTGTCATTCCGTGCAGTTGTAGTAAGCAGACTGTGACGATTGAACGCCCCCGGTGAATCGTAAACACCAAACAATAACAGGCTCTTGCCTTGTTTACAAAAACTGTGTACATAACACGAGTGTGCTCGATTTGCAAAACTCTGTACACAAGGGGATGACGATACTTGTGAAGGAGTTTTGCTTTCTAACATTTCTACTCTTAATAAAATTATTTTTCTGGATTTAAGTTTTAATATTTCTCATTCATACACAACAAGATTGCCATTTTTTGTAAGGATTAAGAGTTGAAGTTATTCAAAAAGAAATTCAAAAAAAGTCAAATATATTGTGTGAATATAAAATAATCTACTCTGTTTTTAAATATATTAGAGAAAAAAAATGGATATCAACAATATAAATTTATTAATATAAAGAACAAAAGGTATTTTAATTTTCATGGAAACTATTGTAAGATTGAAAATAAGAAGTGTCATTTTTTTTATAATGTCCTTTTGAGTAAGAAATTTTCTCCGCCAAAACATCAGCGTTTACTTGGAGAAACATTCAATGTTAATCAAGAAATGTGGAAATCTATTTATCAACAAAAGATTAAATTAACTGTAGATAAAAACATTGCAGATTTCAATTACAAATTACTACACAATTTACTTTGTTGTAAAAAATTTATGGTAAAATGGA